TAAAACTTTCAAACCAATTCAGTTCGATACCCTTTATTCCTATATTGGACAACTTTCTCAATAGTAGGTCTTGATCTATTGTCTCAAAGGCACGTTTCAAATCTAAGAAAACAACAATTTTTTTTTGTTTTTGCTCAGTTCTTCTTTCCAGTGAGCAATTACCAAATTCAGGGCAGTTTCACATGAGTGCTTCTTGCCAAATCCAGACTGTTGTGGTATTAATATGTTATTACATTCGAGATATTGTACTAAATGGGTTTTTACTGCACATTCAAGTATTTTTTCATCATTTGGTAGTGTGTTTATCATCCGCTTTAATGGTATTTTTAACCTTTTCTATTGGAACGACAGTGGATGTTTTCCAAGATGTTGCAAAAATCACCTTTCCTTAAGCTCTCGTTAACTATCTGCATGTAGAAGAATCCTAAATAAGTTACTGCATCTCTAATGACTCCTTCAAATAAAAGTTTTCTTCCTCCGATTCTATTTTTGAAAGAACCAGCAATTTTAATAACTTCATCAGTTTCTATTTCTTGAAATGTAAAATTGTATACGAAATTCGGAAGTTTAGAAAATTCTTTATCGATAATTTCAATATTTGAAGAGATTTCTTTGATACTGTCTACAAAGTAGTCACTTAATGCTTGTGCAATATCATTTTCGGTTGTGTAAACATTGTCATGTATTACAACTTTATTTATGGTATTTGTTTCCTTTGACATACTTATGCAATTTTCATTATCTTACGCTCCATGTATTTGACCTGGCTAACTGGAGTCTGTTTAAAATAGCAAGAAATAAAACAACATCGGCTAAAAGAAAAGAGAAGTGCAGGTATTATTCGAAGAACCTTGACTCCTCCCTGCCACCTAACGTGTTGTGGCGTAACCTTAAACGCTTACGAGTATGTGGAAGTGAAGAAGTCGAATGCACAATAGACGCAGATACACTCAATAAAGCTTCATTAGCAGTCCTTTGTCTGATTCCTACCAGCAATGTTTTGTCCCCTGTGATCATCTAATTTATTCTGGTAGCCCATTTGAGTTCTCAACAATGTCTGAGTGTGATGTTATTAAAAGTATTTTGAAAATCAAATCAAATGCATGCGGTCAGGATGGTATACCGTTAAAATTTACTAAATGGTACTACCGTCTATTACCAGTACGATAACACACATAATGAATCACTGTATTACCACATCATGTTTCCCGGATAAGTGGAAGGTGGCTTTAGTGCGCCCTACTGCCAAGAAGAAGGGCGCCCAGACTCCATCGGACTTTCGCCTTACAAGTGTTCTACCAACGTTGTCAAAAGTATTTGAGTCTTTAATGACGGAACAAATTACCCGTCATGTGCAGGAGAAGAACCTGCTTTATCCGCTTCAGTCTGGCTTTAGGATTGGTCACAGTTGCTCAACGGCTGTGTTAAAAATCCTTGATGATGTTCGTTCTTTTTTCGACAAAGGCTACCTTACGTTACTATGTCTCCTTGACTTCTCCAAAGCCTTTGACACTATCGATCACCATTTCCTTTGTCTTAAGCTCAAGCATTATTTTGGGTTCAGCGAATATTCTCTGAAACTTATGACGAGTTATCTAAAGAACAGATTACAGTAGTAAATAAATCCTCACAACCAATGAAACTAGTTTCTGGTGTACCACAGGGCTCAATATTTCTTAATGACATCTCTTCGGTGTGTAAATTTGTTAGTATGCATGCTTATGCAGACGATGTCCAGCTTTACTTGTCAAGCCTTTTCGAAAATGTTAATGATCTCTGTGATAAGATAAATCGGATTATTTGATCAAACCAACAGTCTTTGCTTTAACCCAAATAAAACGTATGTACTGCATATCTCTAAAAGAAAGTTGGTTGTAAATAACATTCCATCCCTTTACATAGGTGTCAAACCAATTGGTTTTGTAAGTAAAATTACTAACCTGGGCTTTGTAATCAACTCGAATTTAACATGTGTTGATCATATAAATATGGTAATAGGTAAGGTGTATTGCGCGCTACGTAGTTTAAGACATTCATCCTTGTTTACCCCGGTCAACGTCAGACGTAAGCTTACCATCCAATTACTGATACCTAATTTGACGTTCTCTGCGCTCATCTGCAATAGACTATACTCACAATCTGCTCATAAGGTTGACGTTATTTTTAATAATATAAATCCTTATGTGCATGGCCTGCGTAAATTTGACCACCCATCCCAGTGGAGATACGATCTGCTGGACTGTCAAATCCTGGACTACATTGAAGCCAGAAGCTGTATCTTTATTTATCGGCTTATCATATCTTCATGAGAAGCTGAAATTTACAAAATCGTCCCGTTTATACGATTTAATTGTCCCCAGCTTTAACTCTGTAGCCTCGACTAGATTGTTCTTTGTGAACACTATACGTACCTGGAACTCGATTCCTACTTCCATAAGGAGTAGTATAAACAAAAGCAACTATAGAACTATTATTTACAATTATTTTTCTCAACTTATCTAGACTGACCATCTTATTTTACTTTACTTTATTTTATTTTATTTTAAACTATAACTACTGACCTAGCCTTAAGTATATACATATGTAAGCCTGCATTTTTAATATCAACATAGTAATGTTTTTGTAATGTTGTACTATAAAAGATTCATAATCTTACTGTACTAATTTTCTTGTTCAATAAATGACAAAAAATTGTAGTCGTTCAGATTCCTGTTTCTAAAGCAATATTATAAAGATTGCACTTATATTTATTAAGGTATGATAACTCACTATCATACCATTTGTTCATGAGCTTAACACTTATTTCCTTCGTACACGTTAGAGAACTCATTTCATAAGATAAAATATCTGTTTAGAATTTGGCTTTTTCATCGACATTCAACCTAGAAAATTCACTATAATTGTACTGCTTTAAATGTGAACTAGATTTTCACTGGAATAATTTTCCCACGATACTATAGCTTTTTTCATGCTCATTTTGAAGTGTGCTTCTATGTTTACTTTAAAATATAATGTTTCATGATCAGAGGTCTGATGCATTACCATTCTTTTGCAAGAAATATTGTTAGTATTTGTAAATAGCAAGTCTATCATTGTTTCAGCATCTTCCGTTTTTCTGGTGTAGAAGTATATTTTTTGTGACATTGAAAAAGATTGAAATACCCGTAAGATCTGTTTGCTGTAGGTTGTTGTTTTACACATATTAATATTGAAATCTCCAATAATTACAGTGTTCTCATCTGAGTAGTTGCTATTCATAATTTCGCTAAGATAAGTAATGAAATCCACATCACTAGAGTTTGGTGAATGATATATTACACCTACTTGTTATTTAGCAGTAATATTTCCAATTTCTTGAAGTAAAAACCAAATATTTTTATCACGTGAGTTATTAATTTTTGTTTTATATTTAATAGAGTTGTGTAGGTATATTAAAACCCCGCCTGTATGTCTGCTATGCGAATTGCATCTAACAATATTGTATGTATCTATTTGTAATTCTTGGTTTGCTATATCTTCAGTTACACAAGTCTCTAACAACAATATTATATGTGGCACACAAGATTCGATTACTCTTTCCAATTCACCTTTATTTGCTGTAATACTGTTTACATCTAAATAAATACCACTCAGTTCATTTAACGTTCGTTGCTAGACCATGGTATTATTTTTTGCATGGGCATATTTTTTAAATGCTGGACAGTCCAAGCTAAATGCATAATGATTGACATTTCCGTCAATCACTTTTTTTCTGTACCAGTTCACAACAGTTTACGCACCGTATGATCTCAGAATTGCAATCCTTCACATTATGGTTGCCCGCGCATTTACTACATGCTTTTTTATTAGTGCATTCGCTCGATTTATGCTTGTAACCCAGGCATTTAAAACATCTCATAACATTGATATGTTCGAATTCCATGCAAGTGCCCCATTCAATGATTAACCTTTTTCACTTAAGAACATTTTCACAGGTTAGTGCGCCTGTTTCTACTAGAATATTAAAACTTTCTTCTCTACGTGTTATATTTTCGTAGACTTTTAATATTTTAAACCCTTTCCCTAAACATTCATCATTTTGCTTCGTTAATCATTCAATAATGCGATCGTTACCTATGTTTTCAGTTAGTCCAACTACTTAGAAAATCTTTTTTATTTATTTTTTTTCCTTTAGTTCTTTCAGCTTCGCATTCAGTTCCTATGGTTTCCTTTAATTTTTGATGCACTTGCTCACATGTATCTTTATTTTTGCACTCCAGAATTATACCTCCTCTTTTCGTTTACAGTCTTAACAAGGCCAGCGGTAGGTTCAATTGCTGTTTTTAGCGCTTCCTTGGTTTCCTTTATTTTTTGGTTTTTGTTTATTGGTTTGATGACAATTTTATTTTTATTTATTTTGGCTGCCTGTGCATAAGACATTTGCACATCACTATTACTATTATTTGGCCGCATATTTTGCACGTTTTCACCACATTTGTTGAGTTCACTAGAAATCTCATTTATACAGGCAGGTTCTGCAATTCCCTTCCGAGTGAATTTCAACCCCTGCCAATTTTAATTCTACGCGAATCCGACTCAAATTCACTCGGAAGTGAATTGCAGAACCTGCCTGATAATATCATTTTTCATAGCATTATTTTTAATTCCAATGTTAAGTTCCAAGAACGTTTTAAAGTCAGAAACAATGCTTGTTTTTATTTGAGAACATTTGTTGCTGATTAACTGCTCAACAATAAGATTCACATCTGTAGCCTTCAGCTTCGATTGTTCACATTTATTAATCAAGTGCTTAATCTCAATCAATTTTGTGTTTGTATCTGGTAACGTGCATTGGTTGCAGAACCATTTCAAATTAATGTTTTCAGATATAATTTTAATTTCGTATCGTTTGATGTTGCTGCATTTTAAACAAAAATTATAGCTACACCCACCAGAGCATGTTATCACNTTTTATCACAAAATAACTTATGAACTTCTCTTAGTTGAAGATTTAGCTGTAACTTGACATCAAAACATCTAAGTTTCAAGACAGTCGATTTTTGTATTTTTGTCCACCTTCGCGGCACTGTGCGTCGGCATTTTGCCACTATGACTGTGGCAATATGCCCACACTCAACGTACGGCAATAATATACACCCTATAAAAAATTGTGCGACTGATCTCTAAAGCGAGTATTCCGAGATTACTCTCAATCGGGTACAATTAATCGGCATTAATTAGTCCCAACTAGTCTCATACGGGTACTATTGGAGGTCAATTAGTCTCGACTCATCCCTTATGGGTATAATTGGAGATCAATTAGTCCCCAACTCATCTCTAACGGGTACTATTAACGATTTAATGATATGTACGCACTTAGTCAATGACATTTCATGGGCGGCGTTGGCACACAGAGAGAGTATTCGCCTAACAAAACTGAGCACCCCGGTTCGAATCACAGCTGGTGCAAATTTTTATTTTTATTTTTTAAAAGTGACTAGTCGCTTTTCATACCCGTTCGGGTATAAAGGTGAATAATTAGTCTCTTCATAGGACATGCTCGAACAAAAGCGATCAGTTCATTCCATATAAAGAGATCAAAAGTGGTATTAGTCGCATGCTCCTTTGCGATTGCTCCCGGAGTCATCCCGGATTAGTCCTTTTTTTTTGCAAGGCACTAATTATAGTAAATAAACGAGTTGTATTTTTGGAACTTTTCGGCCGTTGATTTTAAAGCAAAAACGTTGGTTTTTCTTTTCTGCCTCCTACGCGTTTCGACACATTATTGTCTTCCTCAGGGAGTCCATTTATTTGTACAAGAAAACATAATTAACAAACGTGTATACCAAAACATGTTTTTCAAACATACCTTAACATATAATAACATAAAATGACATTAATTATTTTATGGACATCACATTTTTAAATTGACACTTAACATTTAAATACATCAATACTTTATCCCAGCTGTTCGTCCATTACTCGCTATTATCGCTGTGTATGCGCAATTTATGTTGTCTACATCTTCTTTGTAATTCATTGCACAGTGTATTTGTTTCTGTATCCGAAGCCCTTCTAACGTCATCATTTTCTTTGTTTTCCTCTCGATGTCTATTATTCTTGCATTATCAAAGTCCGCTGTGTGCTCGCTTTTTGTCAGGTGCTGGGCTAATGCAGTTGTCATCTTTCTATTTTTCGCGTCTGTTTTATGCTCGTTGATTCTGACTGCTAAATCTCGCTTCGTCGTTCCTATGTATACCTTGCTGCAGCGTTCGTCTGCTTTGCCATTCTTTGTTTATTTTGTCTTTTGATTTGGTAAAAACTGTGTTCAGTGTGCGATGCGGCCAATGCGCGAAACTTATTGTTTGGTTGTGTATAAATTTTACTAGCGATTTGTTGTCCGTTAAACCTGGTATGTATGTTATGCCAGTAAATATTGTATTATCATTTTTAGTTTTTACATTGTTGTTCGCGCCTTCTATTTTGTTAATTGTTGTTGCTATGAATCTTTCTATTAGCGCGCTAGGGTATCCGTTTTTATATAAGTTGGTTTTAATTTTATTCTTGTTCTCTCTTCTGAACTCCTGGTAGCTGACTTTATAATTTTTTTTCCAAATAAGTTCATGGCAGTATTTTTCTTTTGACTCCATGGGTGATTTGAATGAAAATTTATCATCCTATATGAGGCCACAGATTTTGAATACCAATTCAGTCTAATCTGGTTATTATCTCGATGGATTTCAACATCTAGGGAGGCTAACCTCTTATTTTTTTTCCTCTTCCGCCGTGAATTTAATTTTTGTATGCTGTACGTTAAATGCTTTTAGTGTAACCTCCACGTCCGTTTTCTTAATTATGGCAAATATATCATCTACATATTTGTTTATGTATTTTATATATATGCCCTTAGATCTAAGTTCAGCGATACTATCATCCAGTATTTTGTCTAAGACAATATCAGCTACAGTTGGGGATAAAGGGTTTCCCATCGGCATTCCATATATGTACTGGTAGTGTATTCCATCATAAACAAAGTAATTGTTATCTCGCAAACGGAACTCGAGAACGGACTGAAATTGTTTTTTTGTAATCGTCGTGTGTTTTTCCAAAATTTGCCAGTTTTGCATGATTGTCCATTGCTAATTGAGTAGGGATATTAGTAAAAAGCGATATTACATCAAATGATATTAATATTTCATCATCTTCAATGGTAGTCTTGCTGAGATTATCTTTAAGGCGAAGAGTTTTTTATATTGTAGCTTTCTGAGACGATATTTTTTAATATTTTTCCTATAAATTTGGCGAGGTTGTAGCATGGAACGTTAACTGACGATGAAATAGGTCTAAGTGGAGTGTTTTCTTTGTGAATTTTCGGTAGTCCGTATAATCTTGGTGCTGTAGCTGCATGGCATGTCAATTGTTGTTTGAGTTTTACAGCTATATTTTTTTGTTTATATATCTCATTTATGATGATATTATTTCTTCTAACAATTGTTACGTCGGGTCAATTCTTATGGTCTTATATGTTTGTTTGTCACTTAAGAGGTCTTTCACTTTATTTTTATAATCTGCTTGGTACATCATGACTGTTTTTCTTCAACTGACTGTCTTTAAAAAAAATTGTGTTTCTTCATAAATTTGTAGTATACATTTTTTTTTTTGGTTTACACTTTAATTTATTTTTGTAATTGTTGATTTTCCCAGCAATATTGCATCTGACCGTGTCTTTCTGTCTGTCGTATTCTATCCTTTGTATGCCTCGTTCAATGTCTGCGATTAAGTGTATAGGCGAGAATGATTTTCTTGAAACTTGTAATGCGAACTTGCTTCCCAGTGATAGTAACCAGCGGCACTCGTGTGGTACCTCAAAGTTGGTTACATTAATAAACAAATCTTCATAGGTCCTTCAGCCAAATTTCTCAAAACTTTTCTCAATATGCGCTTGTATTTTAGTGTGCAAATGTTTCTCGGTACGCTTTTTTGTATCTCTCAGGTACTGTTTGTGATTTTCTATTATTAAGTTAAAATCTTTTTCACAAGTTTCTTTTGGAGTTCTTCCTTAATGTGCCCAATTGTTGTAAGAATAATTTTTTTTTGTATGTTCGTCTCCTTAATTTCCAAAGTCAAAATTCTCATCATAAATTCCCTTTCAATTTTTTTTGCCTCTTTTCTTGTTTTGTCTAATCTAAATCCTTGTAAGATCTTGTTTGTTTTACCCTTTAGGTGAGTTGGTGTAATTTCATAGTCTTTGCAGTTGAGAAGAAATTTGAGTCTTTGTTGTTGTTTTGCAAGTCCCTTGGTGTTCTTGTTATGTTGTTTAATGAGGTAGCAGATGTCTTCATTATATTTTTATATTATTTTCGAAACGAGTTGCCACCTGTTAAATAATTAAACTCAAGTTATTTACTAATCAATACCCTCAGATCCGCACCGCCCGTTCTATTTTCAAAAGCGAAGTACCAAATAAAGGGGCTTAGGGTGTGGATGTTCAAGGTTTTACTTTTTGGAAAAAAGTTGCCACCTGTTAAGAAATTAAGCTCAAATTAATTAAAAAGTTAAATCTATTATTAAATATGGGTATCAATCCAAATGGTTTTGAAAAGGCTTTATAACTTAAATACGTATAGGAGGGTTGCCACATGTTAAAAAAAAAATTAAAAGGAATTAGGTAAGTGAATAAGGTATCGGTATATGGGTGACATACAAAAGAGGTTTGAGAAGGTACCAGTTTGAAAATATGGCTGAGATTTCCATTACGGAACCAATTGCTATTCCGTGCAAAGTATAGTGATTTTTTTATGAAACTCGGTGGGGATACTAATAGAGGTCTCCTTTAACTATATTTACAACTTTCACAATGTTGTTGCTAATAGTACTTAAGTTATTTGTTGTTAAAATATAATAAAACACCTATCACCTTTATTTACACAAATATATTATCCTTAAAAGGTTCGTATGCGTTTGTAATACCTTAATATACAATTATTAATTAATTAATTAAGTAAAACGCGTTTATAAATGTCTTCACAAATGTTTGCACATTTCACAAACAAGCAGAAATAACAATGGCTGACAGTAACACCAAATGTATGCTACCATACGTTAAAAAAATACACCACAAATAAGTGCGTATAATTAGGGGTATAAGTGTACAATACGTACATTGCTCTTATTAAAAATAATAATATTATGATCGATAGCGGTCTTACTCCTGATCATAACGGTGTAATTTTTTTCGGGGGGAAATAATATTTACTGGTGTTATTATAGTTCAAAGTACACAAATGTAGAAAACGTACATCGATAATTTGATAAATAATTTCGCCTGCGGCGCTTTTTCCATAAAAATCAATACTTCGATAAATAATGAAAATTTTTAATAAAAAATCGCGCGTTTTTTTATTAAAAATTTTCGCCTGCGACGCTTTTTTCACAAAATTCAATCAACAAAATCTCCCGATTTTAGACTGAATCACTTTTTTTTATCATTACATCGATATTTAATTTAAAAAAAGTTTTTTGTTGTGTGGCAGCACCGACATTGTAGTACAATTGGTTTACAAAGCAAAAAGTGAGGTTGAAGTTGACATTTTTTGCAACCGAAAATTCAATTTTCATAAAACCTATAAGCCTTCGGAGGGTGGGGTTTTCCGATTTACAATCACAAAAAGCCGCTCTAAACCCCCTCATTTTTGTTTTTTTTTCAAAGCCGGGTTCCGTATTCGAAAAATTTCCCGAAAATATTTTGAATAGGGTTGCCACCTATTAGAGAAGTCTTATAGAACTATTTTTTATGTGAAATGTTAACGATGGATGTCAAATGCAAGAGCTTCAAGAAATACTTAGTTTGACAATTTAGAACATTTTTGATATGTTTGAGGGTTGCCCCAGTTTAAAGGGCTAAACTTAAATTATTTAATAAGTTAAATGAATTACTAACCGATGGTTATCAATGGAAATGAGTTTAAAATCCTTTATTTAAGAACTATATTTAGGAAGATTGCCACGTGTTTAAAAAATAAATGTCCACTCAATTCATCAACAATGAGACGAAAAATATTTAAGGAAATTTTAGTTCGAAAATAATTTTTA